CATTTGCATGGGGGTATAATGCCACAGGAACAGCCGAGCAATGTTGACTCCTTTCAAGTATTTTGAAGTTGATTGGTGGGCTGCCAAACGGCTTGTCAAGATGCTCTCATGCCACAGGGGCAGTTGATTAGGAATTTGCTAGTTTGTTCATGAAACTGTTCTGTCCTGTTTCTTTTTGTTATGTCCAAGTGAGCATGTGCTAGGCTCTGCAGGTGCATTCCTCCTCAGCCATGCATTCCTCCTTTTGTGTAAAGGTCGGTGTTTAGCAAAGGGAACTGGGGCATCAAGGTGATTGCAAATTGAAGACTAGATTTTACTTGAACGCAGATGATGAGCACCTACTGTACATCTTCTGATCAGCCATTGATCTTCACATCACGAATTTGGCTCGCAGCGGGTTTCAGCAGCAAAGGCTTCAGGGACCTGGCTTGATTACTGTAAGACTGTAAGTGAGAGTTGCTTAGTAGGACAGGATTTTCACCCTGCAAAGAAAGACACATCAAGGAGAAACGGGTTTGTCAAGGGCACACGCGCGATTTCATCCGCACGCACAAGTCTGTAGTAAAGGTCTGATTCCAAGCACCTTCGTTTGTCGAGAAGAGTGACATGCCAGGCAGCGGAATGGTCGGAAGCAGATGAGTCCAAGCCTATATTTACCTTGGACAAATCACACACACACACATGTCACACTCATCATCACTCACAATATACACTTATCACTCACAGATCTTTTCCTGTGAGCAATGCTTCCGGAGGCCTTGCTTGGAAGACGTGGGGAGATCCACTTGGAAGATTTGTTGGATGGGAACAATGGAAAACATGTGGTTTGACAAGGAAGCATAGTAATAATATATTTTTTCTGGACTGGGTTTGTTAAAACGTCAAGCTTCTGTACTGGAGTGCTCACTGATATAATCCACACAAAAACAAGTGACAGTGAACCTTGGGCGTTTGTGTGAGAAGCAGTGCAAAGGCCTTATTTATATAGAGGCTTTCCAATATCGAAAGCTGGCTCTGACTAGAACTCTTGATTTGCTTTCGAATCAACGATGTGAATCCAAACACGCCCTCCTCTGCATTTTTGCCCTCCTTTGCCGAGATCAGGCGTTGTTCGGGAAGATACATCATACGTTGTTTCAGGGCTCGACAGACCTCCAAGGAATTCACAAGGATAGAGGTACAGCCACCCCAGAACTCCTGGCGAACCAATGCCAAGACCATTTTTGGCCAAGCCTTATATAGACCATTTGGGAATCAAGCTGTTCGAGTCTTGCGGGGAGATCATAAAGGTAGAGGTCGCCACCGGCTTCAACGTGGTCCACCCCATGTCTTTTGTGTCTTTTTGGTTTTCACCGCTTCAATTTTGCTGGATTGGGTGATGAGTGAAGTGAACTCCCAAAGAGTCTCAAGTGACAGACCCAGACAACCCATTGTACTCGGACTCATCCTGGCACGGCCAGACACCCTAAAATGCACCTGGAAACCACTGCAACAGGGTGCAAACCTGTTGTTCTCCTCGTCGCCAGAAGTATGTCCGCTTGGAGAAGGACGAGGCGCTTCACTCTTCGATGCAATGTCCATCGCGGCGCTTCTTCGTAGCTTTCGAAGGTCTTGGCTGGTTGGTTGTTCCCGACTTTGCCTCATGGCCCTGGTAGTCCTTGGAGATCCAATGATCTCCAATGATCCTGAAGTTTTGAAACTGCAGGGTCTTATATACTTCTTCCCTTGCAGACCCAAAGCCACCAGGTGTGCCACACCGGTGCTCCCAATTTGGAGATCGCCTCGGCGAAGGCGCATAGACGTTTCGGCCGGGGTTCTGGTCTTGTTTATTTCAATATGTCAAAGCTCTTGGTTTGGTTCTGCCAGGAGTCTACCATACTCTTTCATTTCCATGGAAATGATACAACATTGTAGCAACAGCTTCGATCGCGCACTCATACTATTTGTTGATAGATGGGGTGCAAACACTCAGCACGTCAATCGTATGTTTCGCCATCTACCCTGAGGTCAACATCAGGGTTGCCGCATGTTGCCGCCCTGCAAAGCCACACGTTCAGAGGATCATCTCTTTGACCTTGGTGAAGCATTCATTTTCTGAATCGGGAAGGTCTCCCTTGGGACGGGGTGTGTCATTGAGGCTCCTCCAACCTGCCCTCCAAAGCAGGACTTTTTTTTACCCAAAACTATTCGCACTCAGTACCATATGAGGTTTTACAATCCATGTCTGGGGGGAGGTACTCTTTATCAAAGAGTCTACATTACTGGACAAACACCACGGCACGAATTCTGCAGCGACGTGCTTCTGTTGTTTGGGCCCACGATGTGGAGGGTTTGTTGTTCCGCTGGTCGTTCTGGTCGTTCTGGCTTGGGATGGCATGACCACTCTCTGGAATCATCAGTGCTTACCTTGGAATTCATTTGCTGGGCTCTTCGGAGTGAGGGACCCCCTGGGCTCTTACAAATAGCTTCTTGTTGCTACTAGCGTGGCACTTGTTCCTAGTAGCTTCTTGTTACTACTAGTAAGGCACTTGTTACTAGTAGCGATGCACTTGTTCCTAGTAGCGTCCTTTGGAATCATCAGTGCTTACCTTGGAATTCATTTGCTGGGCTCTTCGGAGTGAGGGACCGGTCAATCCGAGTCTTTCGGGCCTATGATGCTCGGTTTGCACCCCACGAGGGTTCGAGGGAGTGCCATGCTTGATAAATAGGTTGTGAGCCTGTCGGTTCACTGCTTTGGTCCAGTCCTGCCCACTAGCACAAGCCAAATGGGACCCTTGGATGCAGCGGTTGGGCTGGTCTCTAAGCTGGTTAGTAAGATAGAATGCCTGACGAACGAACCAATGAATGGCCTTGTGGTGACAGCTGGATCGTGATAATAGACAGACTAGCATAACATTTTTCTTGGAAAAAGCCCCTGCAAGATAAAATAAATTAATTGGCAGGGCTTTTTCTATATTGTTCAATATTTATTGATTGGCAATGTGTTTTGGTAGAGATTTCATTAAATAACAAATGGCCAATATAATCCCTGTCTTTCTTGTCTCCTAAGTTATCAATTGAGCGGCCGATGTCACCAAATAGAAGACCATCATTCCTTGTCCCACTTGATTGAAAGGATTCTGCTCACCCGATCAATAAAATTCCAAACATATATTTTTAAATATCAATTTTATTGATGGTAAAGGACAGGAATTCACCCAAAAAGCAAGAAAGAACACACATTCATATATTATTGCTTTTTGGATGTGCTTTTCATTTATATGAAAAGATTAGCAGCATAGGACATAGAAGCCATTAATTTGTTTATTGGTATTAGATGGTTCGTTCGTCAGCTATGTTGGAACCACCCTTAACCGCTGTAGGGAATAACGCCATGAACAAGAGAAAGCGGAACACTTTGCATGAGACTGTGCGGACATCTTCAGCTTGATCCGTAGCACCTCTCTCCAGCACCGGGGCCCTCCAAGCACCAGGTTTGAGTCTACAATGGGATCCGCAAAATGCGAACAGAAGACTCAGAAGACACACGTTTGGCGGAAGTTTTGAGACATCCCCCACCTACATCTGGGATCTCCATCACTGATGCTTGGAAATGGGTCCGACCATCTACAACATTCTACAACTGATATCCCCATCAGTTTGGACATCCCATGCAAAGACCGCAGACCCGCGTCGCGTGGCAACGCGTCGTGGACTCGGGGACCGTCCTGCAGTGCCCGGAGATGGCAGGCCTTGCTGCCCAGCAGTTCCTTTGGAAGCCAAAGGAGCTCAAGCTCGGCGAGGTCGGGGTCCAAGCGAGAGGTCGAACACCTCTGTCACACGGTCACGTGTGACCAAGAGGGAGACCTGTGATTCGAGTGCCTACGTAGCAGGCTGATAGTATATAAGTCACAGGGTGATGTCGGGACACTTGCCCTGTTGGGCTCAGCAAAGCAAGCTGAACCAGTTCAGTTTCACCTGACGGGACTGGCTTCAAAGACCGATGCAGAGGGCATTGTCTCGATATGTTCCTCATCTTTTTCAAACTTGTAACAGGCTGATTCACTCCTGGTTCAATAATTTGCGGATCCCCTGCGGCACGTTTCCACCCATTGGTAGTCATAAGCTGACGCAAACCAGCCACTCAATGACGTTGTCAGGGTGAGTCCACTTGCAGCACATTCTTTGGACATCTTTTGGAAAGGGAAGTTGTTACACTTTTCTTGTGCACTGTCTCGCCCATGAGAGGTGTCAGTTTTCATTTATACGCAGAGAAACATAACAGGACGGGCCCTAAGACCTGGTAGCCTGAACTGAATCTGGCAGCGAGGCCGGTCCCATCCTTAGATGAGACGTCTTCAGGTTCTTGGTGCCTTTCCTGGCTTCTTTCTGGGATTGAACTGGTCCATTTCGCGGGAACGTAAAGTCTTCCTTGGACCAAGAACGCCCAAATGGAAGAACACCAGGTGGTCTCAGAATATTCTGCAGTTTCTTTGGCGATTCACTTGGAGTATCAAACAACAAATACCAAGAGAGATCTAGGCCTTGACGCGGGCGCTCCATTGGTCTCCAATCATATCCCAAAGGCATTCATACATATGATCTATAGAGCCTCTCCGCCAGACCTTTAACAAAGCAAGGAAGAAGCTTTCCATGTTCATGACATGATCCGTTTCAGCTGGTAATTAAAGCTTCAATCCGCCATCCCAGTGATCCCAGTGAAACCTGTGCCCAGCCCACTGCCTCCCCGGCAAGCCCCGCCCGCCCCTTCCTTCCCGCACAGGACGATCGCCTCCGAGGGAGGCGGACTGTCCACGTGGGGCCGACGGAACCTCGAGGTCTGGCGGTGAGGGGGGTGGAGGGTGAGGCGAAGCATCGGAGGTAACGGGGGGGTTCGTACAGTAGCGTCCGATCGCTCCTAGTAGTGAGGCCAGGAGCCCCGTTCGTAGCGTTCTTGTTCCTAGTAGCGATGGGATAGAACACATACCTCCCAGGATTCTCAAAATTTCTCTCATAGCTTGGTTGCTGAAGTATCTGAGAAGGACAGTCATGAAGATCCATGTGCTGCCATGAAGATCTCAGAAGTCATTCAAATCCAGCTCACCAGCAAACCCTGGCCCTTTCATCCGCCCCTTTGCTCCAGACGCGCTCCGGCCACGTCTAGAGCTGTGCCAGGGTGAGGTGAGGCAGCTCCGCTGGGAGCTGAACGAGGAGCGGCTCCTCGCCGGGCGCCTACGACAGGAACTCCAGAAAGCCCAGCAGCAGCTGCGGCAGGCGCCTCCGGGCCACGTTCGTCACGCCCTGTAAAGGGCTTCCCATTGTGTTACATGGACCCCCTACTGCGCCCTATTGGTTACCCCTCTTGAGGTCCATCACGCAAGTGATAGACTAGAGTCTTTCGTGATCTTTTGTGTCAAGGAGTGAGTCTGCTATAATGCTGGCCGAGGGCAAGTGTTTGTGTCTTTCTATGTGGCCGAGGAATAAAGGATGTCGGCACCTCCCACGCCTCCCACGCCATCCTCACGTGTACACCAGCTGGTATGCACTGTGATGCACTGTGGAGCATGCAGCAAATAGCAAAGATGCTGGCATGCTTGGAGGGCACCCCCGAAAAAAGAGTCAATATCCTTCTCCAAGGGTTGGCGCAGCACAAAACACCGCGACCAAAAAAACCTCGGTATTAGCCTGGGTCATGCGGGCGGTGCAGACCTCAAAATTACTTTGTCGTTTCGTTTGGAGCGAATGCAGAACCCCCGAATCTGGTCACCGATCTTCAAACGTTGGATCCGTTTCGCCGTATTTCCTAATGGCTTAAGTTTCCTCCCAAATCTAGAAACCAAATCATTAGTGCGCGCTTCCTTGGAAAAGCATGAGCTATCCTGCATCCTACCTAGGAGCGTCCTGTACCTAATGGCTACCCCTCCCCTCCCGTACTTAATTAAGTAGGCACCTACTTAATTAAGTGGGGAGGGGAGCGGGCCAAAAAGAAAAAGACACAGGAAAAAACATAGCCCTTTTGTTTGGGGAACATTTCGTTCTTTGATCACCTATGAGGGTTGAGCTTGTAGACTGGATCGTTGCCGATTCCCGACCCTAGGCATCGGAGCGTTCGGGCCGTTCAAACGCTGTGCGTTCGATGCCACGTTGGAACCGTTCAAGCCATCTCCTTCTTTTGACGCTGCTGTGCACAGTCTGAGTTTTTTTTTCCCAATGCTTAAGGAACTTTCGCTGTTACAAGTTGCGTCGAGGCCCGTTTGATCAAATCTTGCAGTTTGAGGCAACACATGGTAAAGCAATGGTTGGGAAGGTGTACAATGTATATAACTATTATAGACATATGTTTATGCATTGGGTCTGTCAGTCTGTCCTGTTACAGTACCTGTAACAGTCAGTAAACAATTATCACTACTTTTGAGAAAGGCCTTTACTAACCATCATCATTCATTGTTATAGGTAACAGGAAAGACCCAATTTATACATACTATTCCCCAACAGCGAGGCTTAGGGGTCTTCAGCCATAGTATCCATAGTAAAGACTTGGGAGTAGATCAGAGCCGGTTGCAGAGCAAGTTCCGGAGCAAGTTCCTGGGCAAGTTGGGGAGCAGGTGCCGGAGCACGTTTCGGAGGAGGTTGCAGAAGTGATTCTGGAGCTTCCGGAGCAGGTTCTGGTGGAAGTTCCGGCACAAGCTCTGGAGCTTTGCAGACACGCTGTGTCTCTCTGAGGCGCTGAGGTGCTCCATGCCGATACGCTGACATGATTCGTGTTGCGACGATAATCTGCTATTGTGTCGCTGGCATGTTGTTATGCTGACCTGGCAACGGCCAAGCTAACATGCTGACATGCTGTCATGCTGCGACGCTGAAGTCGGGTCATGCTGCCGCGCTGACTCGCTAGCAACCAACAAAGCGGGCTCCAGAGCACGATTGCTGGCTCTTGCTTGTAGGTGTCGCATGTGTGTGCACATGATATGTGCTGTGCCAACGCATTGCTGTTGGTATGCTCGCGTGGTGCATCGAGAAGGTTCGCACTTATGAAAGCAGCGGTGTCTGGCAAAGGCACGACACCTGTTGCATGGTGAAGGTGCAATGGTGCCACTGCCCAGTAGGCGGGTTTTGGTGTCCAGCTGTTGGGGATTTTTCTTTCGCTTATTTTGAGATGCTGTGATCCCACGGCCTTCAATTCTGCACGCATGTAGGGCTTTGTTGCTTTCCATGTCTATAGACTCCATGGCCTCTGAATCCATCGAGCCAATCGTGATGTGCTGCTACTTTGACTGGTTGGCATGTCGCTTTTTAGTGGGAGCCTTTATCAGCAAGGTCAATGCTTGTCATCCTATAGAATGCAAATCGGTGCCAGGGGTTGTTTGCCGTAAATTAATTTGTGTTTGAGTTCCCACACATGATGAGCTGGCTTCAATTGGATTCGCTGTGAAGTTGTGAGGCGGCCTAGCCTTTCACACGGCAAGAATGGCCCTTTATGCACTGATGATTCGAACTCTTTTCAGGCACGCGTCTGTCGCTGTCCGTTATGATATGAACCCGCAAACATGCACCGAACCACGATGCTGGTATGCTCAGCTTTCATGATGCCTCATGTTGTTGAGGTTGCTTGGAAAAAGTACCGACACCACACGTCACCTCAGAGTCGAGTTGCTCGAGCGAACAATACCCGCGCAGCGAATTTGCATCATTTTTGAGTCGCAAGCATGGAGGAAGGCCGAACCACAACGCCAAGCCGACAACTTTTTCCCACGGGTGGCACAGAGTGAATTTGCGTCACATTTTTTGTACTCCACATAGAGTTCGTTTGCTTTTTGTCACGCCATGTCGCGCCAACGACGAGCAGGCACATCAAGAGCTTGATTTGCAACGGGATCGTGATGCGCTTTTGGGTTTTGCTCACGAGAGCCCCAGAGGGGGGCATGTTTGTCGATCTTTTTGCGCGCTATTTGGGCGCCGGTAGGCAGGGTGCCGCTGTTCCTGAGATCCCGACAGTATGCAGGTGCTCATTTCGGATTTTTTCCCAAAAGAGTTGGAGACAAACATGATGTGTGTAGCCAACAACACCAACAACCTGTTTTCAACGGAGTGCAACCGTTCAAAGCCGCATCTCAAAGCTGGAGTACTGAACGTCAGTTCAAAATTTGATCCGAAACACTGGAAACGCTGACAAGAACGGGTTCTGACAGGAACAGCAGGTTTCCCTTTGAACGGAGCGGTGGGTTCAAGTCCGAGGGATTTGGCGCAATCGTTTGTAGTTTTACGTCTCGGAATGTCATCCGAGTTCCGTTCGGTGTGACAAGGGCACGATCTTGGCATGAAAGCCAACCAATTGCAGTGGAGGGGTTGGTTCCTTATTTGAGGAAATGGTTTGGGTGGGGTGATAGTAGTGAAACAATGAATTGAACAGGTGATCGTTTTTGGGTCACCCTTTCTGGGATAGGTCCTTCCAAGGTTTCTAACGCACTGCGTATCATCCTGACGCACATCGATTCCCTTGTTGGATTCATTTGGTTTGAGTTTCGACACGCTCAGATGTTCAATCCAATTTTGTAAAAAATGTAAAATATCAAGTTGCACCACTAACATATGCATAAACATTGGGTGAAATTATGTACTTCAGTCAACGCATTATCATTAAACATTGGGATACCGTGGATGTGAACCGAACAGCTTGATTCAACAAGAAGAGTTTTGGTTCTTCCGTTCGCGAGGAGATGACTTTGTTGTCATGCTCTTTGGTTCAAGACCGTTTCATGTGGAGCACGAGTGAAAAGCATAGAGTTGGTTCTTCATTATTGCAAGTGGACTCTGCTTTTTGGTCTGTACTGGCAAACAGAACCTCAACCACAAGAAGTCATTTCCTTTAATGTGAGCAGCCAAGGCACCCAGGAGACCACTTGACTTGGTACTTCAGTGAAGGCTTGTGAAACAGAACAACGATCCGTTTCAAAATGGAGACCAGCTGTGAGTGGTTTCTTCCGGAAAAAACACATGGGGTTTTGGGAGAGAATCCACTGCTCCGTCAAGATCAGTGAGAGGGGCCGGAGGCCACGAGACAAAAAGGGGTGTGGTGAGCGGAGCGGCAAGGAGATTGGATTTTGGGCCGGAGACCGTTAAAGGATTATGCAAAGGTGGACAAGAGTGAAACAAACAGACTGTACATGCATCTGCAGCATTGCTGAATTTTGATCTTACTGCAGGGTTGTTCTGAGCATGGCAATTTCTATTCCCAATCTTCCCACGGTTTCACCAGACATTCGCTGCTTTGCATCGGCCACCAGACACTGGCCGATGACTGGTCTTGCCAATGACATCTAGCGGCGACATGGTCCAGGAATCCGAATCCTCCGAATCCGAAGTCCTACGGCTCTCAGGATTTTGAGCAATGCTCTAAATGACCATAGCCATATTAGGTTGTGCATTTGCACATAGCAGACTCACCTGTAGCAGATGTTTACTCTAAGTCTAATTCGTTAAGATGTGCCTGTAGCAGATTCCTTGGTCCTTTTGGGTGAGGCCGCTCCCTAGACCGGCAGACCTTCGCTCAGCAAAACCGCTCTGCACCGAACCCCGACACGGCCAGGGGCCTGAAGAGCACGCCAAGCACCGAAGAAAAGGAGGAGAAGAAGGAAAAGAAGGCTTAGTTTGTTTATACAGTATCTTAGTCTTTTTTTGTACCGGATTTTTGTTTGCTTTCCTTTTCGCGGGAGATGAGGAGTAGAAGTCAGCTATTCCCACTTCTACTCGAAGCACATTTTTTCTTCTCGGCCTTTCTCCCGAGGTGGATCGGGCAAAGACCTTTTTTCCACAGGGGGAAGCCGGATGTTGGTTCACAAGAGCTTCGCTGGGAGGTTGCAACTGAAAGGGGAGGGATGATGATCGCACAACAGAATGTGCAGACATGCCTTCAGTGTGTGGTTGGGAGCTGGCAGATTCTCCAGGGACTCCAGGAAGGTGTTGTCCAAATTCGCTTCATGAATTTGCTTCTGATCCTGAACTCCATTTGAGCATAATACACTTTTTTTGTGTTCCGGATCGATACGAACAGGCCTTCAACTGATGCCTCGGTTTTGGAGTGGTGTAGAACGTGCGTTTCTTGAAAAAACACTTATGCCCTTTGATCATTTGAATGGGACAATCCCTCACAGCCAGGCCCAAGAGAAGAATGATAAGAAGGCTTTGGCGAAGGAGCTTGCACAGGCATAATGCGGCATTTGGCATTTGGTTAGTTTTGGTTTGGGAAAGGGGGTAGTGAGCTCTGTTGACTGACTTAGTCTGTGTTGGAATCAACGACAAAAAAGCAGTTCTGAGATATTCCTCCATCAACCCTCGTGAAATGGTAAAGTTTACTTTGTCAATCAGCCTTAAACACCACTTGGGATTTGCGCCAATTTGCGCCACGAGACTAGAAGGGGGTCCATGCCAACGTACTCTGAGCACAGAAGATTCTCTCGACCTGAGCATGGAAAGGATGACTAACCACTTGGTTGCTAGTGAATGGTTGATATAAATCCAGTGCTGCAGTGAATGTGTCAACCACTCTTAGCAGTTTGTTCTTCATGTGGAAGCAAAGGATGTGTTTCCCTGCTTTGATAGATGCCCGTGGCAGACAAAATTCAACTCTTTCAACTTGCCCACCTTGCTCGGTCCGTATGGGCCTAGCTCCAGTGATTGGAAGCTTTGCAGACCGGCACCGTTCACTGAACCATTGTTCACCGTGTGTTTCTTTTTCTTCCAGAACTGCCCAGATCGAAAAGATGCGACATGACCGCGAGAGAGAGCGTCAGCACCGATTGAAGCAGGCGCGGGATTCTGGTCGGGACGTGGGAAGCCTCGCACTTCAAAACACTCCGCATGAGAGTCAGGTTCTACCCTTGGGCAGTGACAGTGAGATGATGCCCAGAATAAGAGATGTAAACTGCCACGAGCGCAGGTGGAGAGTGGTTGAGATTCCAGTACGGCAAATTGGAGAGGATTTAGAGCAATCTGGATGCTCCCAACATGCCAACACAGAGGGATGGGCAGGTTCCAGGTTTCTTAGTCACAGCCAGCTTCAGGGTGACTAGCTTGCTACAATTCCAATTCGTTTGGAGGCTGATTCCGTCGACAGAACACTGCTTTGGTCCAAGTGATCTGCAAAGTGTACTCCGACCACCCCGTGTTTTGCTTGATCCTTTTGAAGGAGTGGAGCCAACCCGCTTGCAAAGTCAAAAGGACGTGGAACCTGCCTTCGAACGCTTTTTCGTGGGGTTCCCTCAAAAACACCAGACGGTTAGGTTGAATGGTTGGACATTCCGAATTCCAACCACTTGGCCTCTTTTCGAACCCTGTAAGGCTTATTGCTGACAACGGGAGTTGTCCGCCTTTTCGGCATTGGACTTTGGGACCCGTGCGTCGATGACCAGCCGGTAGAAACACAGCAGTTTTTAGGTTGATCTTTCAGCTCTCTTGGTTGATCTACAGCCGGTAGACCTGGTAGACGGTGTTCTCTTCTGCGTTCTCTTTGCGTTCTCTCACGACCGAGAACGATCAACCTCGTTGAGAGGCCAAAGGAAAGAGCAAGGTGCGGGCGCAGGGCACGGGGTGTCCGTCGAGGTCCGAGTTCAGGACATCCATCTGGCCGCCAAGCGCCGGTGCCAAGCGCTGAAGTGGCTTTTTTCCCCGTCAATCTCAGGAAGAAGCGCGGTGTGTTGGCTGCGAGTTCTTCTTCTTTTTCTAGTTAGTGTCATTGGCGATCTGCAGAACCTCATTGGCGCAGCACCAAGGTCTAGAAACCGAAATCCAGTGGATGCGAATGGGTGCGGTGTTGTTTCCTTTTTTCTCGGGTTTTCCTGAGTGCGCCCTTCTCAGAGGGGTTTTGTTTCAACCCGATGCCTGAAGGCATCAGGTCAAGTCTTGATCTCTGGTGGCGCTTTGGCCAGGCGAAGCCTGAAAGCCATCTCCCATCGAAGGCGCCGTGGAGTAGGAACCTCCCCGGAGAAGCGTCAGTGTGTGTGCGTCTTTTTTCTTAATCTTCCGGGAAGCAGTTTTTGGGCTGGTAAGCCCCTGGACTTGTTTCTTTTTCGTTCGATTCTGGGTCAGCCAACAGTGGCGCGATCGGCCTGTCCGTTTTGCGCATCGCGTCGGGTGCCCCGGGCCTCTTCGCCCTGAGCACTTCAGGCAGCGCGCGTCATGGATCTGGATTAGTGAGGGGCCGTGCTTGTGTCGGCGTGCGGATCTTCTGCGGTCCAAGCTCTGCGGTCGTGATACATGGAGCAGTCTTGCAGTCTTGCAGCACAGACAAAACGTTTTTTGATGAAGACTGACATCACATTTTGATTTCAAGCAATGACAAGAGGCGGGTTTTCATGCCGAATGCTATTGCCTCACATAGACAAGTCAATAAATACAAGCTCTTTTGGAAGGGTCACAATTTTAAGCATCCCATCTCAGCAGGTCACAGGTCACAAATTCAGAACAACGCCATCATTACAAAATAGATTACTGGATGGACATGCGACATGTGCAAACTTTCGATTGACGGGCTTTGAACACTCTCAGACCACTGCGCTTGGTGGTGACCGGTAGGAGGGAGTGCTTGGGGACCTCGCCGGCCGATGGGGTGTGGCTGGACGAAGTGGGTCCCATGTACAGCGGTCGTCCCGACACATGTTTGGACGTGTTTCGACGCCCAGATGCAAAACGGCGCCGCGTGTTTCGGCATAGATGGCCTTTTACATCCTTCTAATAGCGTCCGATCGCTCCGTTCGTAGCGATGCCCGTCCGATCGCTCCGTTGATTGATCCCCCAGTCGTGAAGAACTGGTGGCATCGACCCCGATGTCGACGGTGGGCACCAAATCGGTTGCGGCCCTCGGACACGGTTCCAGCAATAACACACTCGTTCCTGGAGGGACGAACATGGTGCTAGGACCAGGACGTGGATTACAGGATTTGGTGGTGGTTTGGCATTGGAACAACACAGCAAAATCATGCAAAACATGTTTTCGTTTTTTTAAAATGTAATTAAAGA